GTTTCTGTTTACTGCAAAAGTTAGTTAGGGTCATAATTTAAATTCATGATAAATTTGAATGACAGTTCAATTGCTTGTTATTGTTGAGCAGCTATGTTTTATTTAAAGTGAGTGCATTAATTTCTTGAGCAGCTATGTTTTATTTAAAGTGATGAATGTTAAAAAGATTTTGTAGTTTGATGTTATTGTTGGTGTTAGCCAGTGAAATCCTTTGTTAAAAAGATCTGCTAGGTTCACTTGGTGTACTCGGTGTTCTGAGATGCGGCAACAAAAGAACAAAAGAATGGAGTTATAATTTTAAATTTGACGGTAATTTAATTTGTTTTATTATGTGTATTTTCTTGTTGGTTGTAATTTTAAATTTAATATTGGATTGTTTTATTATTTTTGTCAAAGAATAGTGATTGTTTCAATATGGGAATTGGGCCAATTGTGATGTTTAAGGCCCAAAAATTTTAAAAATCAGATGGTCTTGAAGCTTAAATACACAAAAAAACCAAACTGGGCTTACAGCAAGCCCAAACCGTGAGAACCGGAAACCGGTAGGTCCGGGTTGGTTCGGATTTTGGTATGGATTTTAAGCAAAACCGGTCCAAACCGAACCGGTCTGCATTTTCGGTTCAGGTTCTATATTTTAACAAAAACCGGTCCAAACCGGACCGTGCCCACGCCTAGTCTCTATTTATCTCTATCTCACTCTGATTTTAGGGTTAGGGTCTCTGTTTCGTCCGCTTTCCATTTCAATTTCTCTCGCCTTCCAGTTATGGCGAACCGTACAGACCCGTCGGCCAAGAGCATAAGGGGGACGAACCCGCAGAACCTGGTGGAGAAGATTGTACGGTCGAAGATATACCAGAACACGTACTGGAAGGAGCAGTGCTTCGGGTTGACGGCCGAAACCCTAGTGGACAAAGCCATGGAGCTTGACCACATCGGTGGGACCTTCGGAGGTAACCGTAAGCCCACGCCGTTTATGTGCCTCGTGATGAAGATGCTTCAGATCCAGCCCGAGAAGGAGATCGTTATTGAGTTCATAAAAAACGACGACTACAAGTGAGTTTTACTATCCAGTTAATTAATTGCTTTTATTAGTAACTGGAATTGGTTTTGGACGTGCTTATGTGATTGACAATGTGCATGCTCTGGTAGCTGGGAGAATTAGTGTTGAAGGGAAAGGAAGGGGAATTTGTGGAGTTTTGTGGTTTTTGCTGAGAAATCCTAATCCGAAATTTGTGTTTTAGATGTTGAATTCTTTCAGATGCGGAATGAGATATTTTGGGTGGTTTGGATATATGTATGAAAGGAATAGTATTGTTTTGCTTTATGTAAAAAATGTAGGAGATATATCTGATATTCTTTGTTGTGTTAGGTGGAGGTAATGGAAGGATACGGGAAATAATAG